CGCATGGCGACTATACAAACCAACAATCGAAGACGGCTCAGCTCGACTGCGAAGCCTCATCTATGTGAACCGTAGGCTCTCAACGGCCTCTCACCAACAAGTGCAATGCGACCACCCAGACCTAACAGCAATTAAGATCTGGACGGCCGAACTCCAGATCCTGGTCTTTTCGGTCTATATCCCACCCGTACCGATGCACAATCCCGACGGAACATCGGCAGAGACGACTCTATCCGCGATCCACCACACGATTCAGGAAAATACTCAAAACAACAGAAGGCCCACCTGTCTTATCCTATCTGGAGATTTCAACCGCCATCATCCGGCATGGGGGAACAACAACATCCAACCCCGCTTCGTTGAGGAAGCCGGCGAACTGATCAATTTCTTCCACGAACATGGTCTGCAGGGATGTCTCCCTCGAGGAGTCTCAACCTACTGGTCGCTGAGCCACCCGGGAAGAAGGTCCACGATTGACCAGACAGTGACGGATAAATCTGAGTTACTGCTCAAGTGTCATCTTTACCACGATAACTACGGCTCGGACCACCGGGCCACATACTCAGAGTGGAGCCTCCAGATACATCGCAACAACAATAAACCTCCAAGAAAGGCCTACGACCGCGCAGACTGGGGGAAAATTGGGAACGAGGTCATAAGTCTCATGGGGAAACAGACCGAGATGCACTCAACCCACGCACTCGATATGGCCGTGGAAAACCTCACTAAGACCACTGCGATCGCTGTCGACAGACACACGCCCGATCAGCGACCCTCCCCTTACGCTAAACGATGGTTCACGGCCGATCTCAAGGAGCAACAGAACAAAGTAAACCGCTTGCGACGCAGATGGCAGGCGAGATGTGCGGAAGCAGGACGAAACGATCCCCACAGCATGGCACTTTTCCAGGACATGCGCCAGTCGCGGCGGGCGTGGACCCGGACGATCGAAGAAGCAAAAGCATCACACTGGAAACAATTCCTTGATGAGGCCGGCGAAGGGAAGTTATGGAAGGCCGCGTCGTACATGAAACCACGGGAGGCGTGGGGTTGCGTCCCAACGCTCCGGGTCGGCGACAGGGAGGTGGCTGATAATCCAGAAAAGGCGCAAGCTTTCATGGACGCATTCTTCCCGTCGATGGCGCCCGCCGAAGACGAACAGCTGCCTGAGACCCCCAGCCGAAATCCCATGGCAACCGATCTCAGAGATCGAGATCTACCGATCGCTCAGTACTGCAAAACCATCAACAGCGCCAGGTGAAGACGGTCTTCCCATGTTAGTCTGGAAACGTCTCTGGGATCACCTCGGGAGCATCATTACCAAGATTTTCACGGTGTCGATCGAACTAGGATATCACCCCCAGGGGTGGAGATGCGCCCAGATCGTAGTTCTGCGGAAACCAGGAAAGCCAGACTACTCGCAACCAGGAGCCTACCGCCCCATCTCGCTCCTCAACACGCTTGGAAAGTTATTGGAAGCAGTGGTCGCCCGACGGTTGTCCTTCTACGCGGAGCAGTACGGGCTACTACCGGACACTCAGTTTGGAGGCCGACCAGGACGCACCACCGAGCAAGCCCTTCTAGTACTTGCCAACGCAATCGACAAAGCGTGGTACAAACAAAAAGTGGTGACGCTAGTCGCCTTCGACCTAAAAGGGGCGTTCAACGGAGTCAACCAGACAAGCCTGGACGCTCGTCTCCAATCCAAGGGCATCCCTTTGGTTGCCCGACGATGGATCGCGAGCTTTATGAGCGGACGCCAAGCCAGTATCCGGTTCGATGACTACCAGACCGAGGTAGCACCGCTAGACAATGCCGGGCTGGCGCAGGGCTCTCCACTCTCGCCCATTCTGTTCACGCTCTTCAATAATGATCTGGTGGACCAGCCCGTAGATTCCAAAGGCGGAGCTTCGGCCTTCATCGACGACTATTTTCGCTGGCGAGTTGGCTGGAGTGCAGAGGAGAACCTAGCCAGAATCCAGTTTGAAGACATACCACGCATCGAAGCATGGGCCCGGAGGACCGGATCCTGCTTCGCGGCCGAGAAAACTGAACTTATCCACATCACTCGCAAGAGAAAGGAACAGTGCCAAGGGGAACTGATCATGAATGGCAAAGCAGTCAAACCATCCACAACGGCCAAACTACTGGGAATTATCTTCGACCATGAGCTACGATGGAAACCACACGTACAGCAGGCGGTCAAACGAGCTACAAAGGTCAACCTCGCTCTTGGTGGACTACGGCATTTACGCCCAGAGCAGATGCGTCAGCTCTACGAAGCGTGTGTCGCACCGGTCATTGACTATGCGTCTACCGTCTGGCATGACCCACTCCGAGATAAGACGCATCTTCGGCACTTACGCACCGTACAGCGGACTGCGCTCATCCGCGTTCTATCGGCATTTCGAACGGTGGCCACAGCTGCGCTGGATGTAGAAGCACACGTCCGGCCAATCCATCTTCGACTACGCTTCCGTGCACAGAATACCATTACAAGACTCCACACCCTGCCCCAAAAACATCCTATCTGGAGCACCCTTCTTCGGGCCCAGAGAAGGCGGGACAATATTGGATCATACGCCAGGTTCCCTCTAGCAGAGGCGTTGAAAACAATGAACTTGGAGAGACTGAGAGAAATCGAGATGATTGACCCGACCCCGCTCCCTCCATGGAGACCGGAGGGGTTCGCCAGAATCGAAATAGAACCTGATCAAGAGGTCGCAATAGAGAAAGCGGAAACGGTACGATCCATCTCGGACGTGATGATCTACTCAGACGCCTCGGGGCGACAAGGTCATCTGGGAGCTGCAGCCGTCGCGATCGACGAGAGGCAGCAGACAACTGACAGGATACAAATACAGGTGGGCAGTATGGACCGCTGGTCGGTCCATGCGGCAGAGCTCATTGGGATTCTATACGCTATCAATATCATCAATCAAGTCGCGGTTCGACGTTGGACAGCATCGCACGCGCGGGTGAGATCCGCCACGATCTTCAGCGACAGTATGTCGGCACTGCAAGCTATTCGAAGACCGGGGAACAAGTCGGGACAGCAGATCATCCACGCCATCCTACGAGCAGCCGAAACCACCAAGAACCATGGTACAATGATTCGACTACAATGGATCCCCGGTCACTGCGAAATACCGGGAACGAGATCGCCGATCAGCTTGCTAAAGAAGCCGCCATCCCGGGCAAGACACACCCGTTCAGTCCCTTGATATCACGCGAGAGAGCACATATCAGGCAAGTTATTCAGGACCAATGGGCAGAGGAATGGAAAGGGTCGAAGACTGGCAGCCACCTGCGCCGGATTGACAACACCTTGCCAGCCAAGTACACACGTGGCCTCTACGGTTCCCTCCCGAGGAACCGGGCTTATCTACTCACCCAATTGCGAACTGGCCACTGCTGGCTATCAACATATGCAAAGACGTTTCGCTTCCGCGACAATGACCTATGTGTCTGTGGCGAACGCGAGAGTGTAAGCCATGTTCTGCTAGACTGTCCAGAGCTGAGAGCACTTCGGCGAGAGCTCCGAGAAAAGGTCGGCGAGGCGTTCAACAGCATTTCAACCCTACTAGGAGGGTCTGGAGGAGAGGAGAGAGGTAAGGTTAGCCATGCTTCGAAGGCGAAGACGGTGGAAGTCGTCTTGGACTTCGCTGAAGCATCACAACGGTTTCAAAGCCGAGTACCATGAAGACAACATGAGAACGAAGGGCTAGGGAGCCACGAAAGGCTTCGGCGAGGCATTAAGGTCGCTTAGGAAATTAGACACGGCAATTACGAAGAGACACATGTATATAGTTGTTGAATCCTGCATATCGTTCGCGAAGTTGAAACCCTGGATCGAGGTACAAGTGTGATAATATTGATCCCTATGAAAGGATGCAGCTATTTATAGTTGCAGCAGCTCATCTCCCTGCTGCCTAGCGTAGTGCCTGCCTAACAGGCAGCCACTCCTACAGATCTATATACATCACGTGACATGGGATCCAATTCGCGAGGGGTCGGGGTAAATGAAATCATCCATCCATCCATCCATCCATCCATCCGACTGTAACCCTTTACACAAGAGCTTTTCACTCCTCTTCATACTCTACCGGTTCTTATCCGTTATAAGTGTCAGTCTGCCATACGAGTAAGCCAAGTAGTGGCTCATTTGACCTCTTCTTCACATTCTATTCCTGGTCTACGGCTACTCAGATCCAAGAATCTCTCTCTACACTCTGGTCCCAATTACTTTCTACCTCCACGTCTAATTTGATCCGTACCCGACCGCTACCTTTTGATCTCCTTCCTCTTTACCATGATGGTATTGAGTGTCAATTTACCCCTAACTGCCACTACAGTATATCTGTCGTACAACTAAGGTTATGAAAGAGCACTGGGGAATATCCCACCAATGGCTTACCCAATCCTCTTCTCAATCTTCTAATCGTACAATAACTATTCTCTCTACTGTAGAGCTTCTTCAAAGAAAGGGCCGAAATCGTTATGTCGCCACTCTAGATGAAGCCAGCCCACACTATGACCCAACCTATCGCGGGCTTCTCACGAGTGATGGATGTCCCATTTTTATCACCTAAGCTTGATTTTTATTTATTCATTATTATTATTATTATTATTTTTTTTTTTTAAAAAAAAAAAAAGATGATTCACCTATCTGATGTGCGAAGACCTGAGACCTGGAATCAGGCCTTGGCAGTGGGGCCCGGGAGAGGCAGATTTCGATATCGACTATGTCGTACGCATTAAGTACATAAAAAGGAGCTGGAATTTTCTGGCCACGATGTGAATTTGTTGATAATCAAGATCAATATCAGTGACATGGAGCTGAAAGCTACTAGTATAGGCAGAAGGGTATGCCACAAGCCATAAAACGGCTTAGACACCAATTTGAGGCGCAAGGAGCTTACAATTAGCAATCACATAAGCTGTTTGCTTACGTACAATAAATAATTTTCTTTGAAATAAGTACCTTTGCAACCGCAATATCATCCATGCTTATTCTTGTAACCTTGAAGAACAGATGTGATCCTAAAGTTAGAAGCCACTTCAATGGCGCGCTTCACATCGCTGCTATTACGTGCCCGAGGGTCCTGGTAAAGACGGCTGACGACCTCTTCATATCCATTCCGAGCTGCATGGCATAATGCTGTCTCCTCAAAGTCATCCCTAGCAAAATCCAGTCCTTCTTCTTTAAGCAAGAGATCGACAACAGTCAAATTTCCACGGGAAGCCGCCAAAGAAAGGGGAGTGTGTCCCATGTAAGTTCGGAAGTTGATGTCGGGTCGGGTGGTGTGTTCAAGCAGGAGTCTTGCAACTTCAAGGTGGCCCCTCACGGATGCCGCACAGAGAGGTGATTCATTATCGTATTGCTGATCGATGTTGATGGCATCAAGGCAGAGTAATCGACGTACAACGCCTACATGGCCCATGTGGGCAGCATGGAATAGTGGCTTGGCCCGTGGCACGTTCACTCGGGTTCCTGCGAGGAATAGTTCCACCAGGCATAAATTGCCATTATAGGCAGCGTAGGCGAGGGGCGGCCATTGTTGGTCATCAAGAGCATTAGGATCAAGATCATCATTGTCGAGAAGGGCAGCTGTGATCGGTTTATTATGCATCTTCGTCGCCCAATGAAGCGCTGTCTCGCCATGTTTATTTGCCACGTTGATATTCACATGGTCCTCTGTAAGAATGCGCTGAGCTATTTTTGTATGTCCCTTCTCCACAGCTAAGCAGAGTGCTGTTGCTCCATTAGAATCTCTAGCATTGATATCCATGTCAGGGCAGGTCAGGAGGAGCCCCGTAATCGACCTGTAGCCATATTCTGCTGCGACCTGAAAGGGTGTGCGGTTGCACCCGTCTCTCGCATTGACGTCTGCCGCGACCTGAAAGGGGGTACGGTTGCACCCGTCTCTCGCGTTGACGACTGCCGTTCTATGGATCAGCAGATTTTGAATCATCTTGCTGTCCTGGTTTTCTGTAGCTTGATGTAGCACGCTCCAGCCAGAAGGATGCCTCGTATTTGGATCTGCACCATGGGCAATCAGAAGCAGGATGATATCTCGGAAATATACTTCTCTAGCCTCGTCGAGCAGATTGTCTATTGCATTGATATCTTCTAGTAAAGACTTTCCTGTGCTTGGATCTGGATGGCGGAGTAACATTCGGGTGATCGTAAGGTATTTCTTGGTAATGGCAAGTTTAATTGGTGAAACATCTCCCTTGTCTGGCGTTCGTATATCACTTCCCTTCGCCAGAAGGAGTTGCACCAGTTTTGTGTCACGATTGTGAATGGCATACCAGATAGCAGACCGTTGTTTGTCATCCCTTTTATCCAGACATGGGTCGAATTCCAGGAGAGGTGAGACGGCGGATGAACGTTTCTTAGCTATGGCGTATACTAGTGGAGTCTGCATAGATTGATCTTGTTGATTGATATCTGCTCTCTTGTCGGAGAGGAGCAGGCGAATAGTTGGCTCGTTCTCAGCGTCAATAGCATAAAAGACGGGTGTGCGAGATTGATCATCTGTTGTGTTGGCGTTCGCTTGGTAATGACCCAACATCTTTCCCACAAATTCTGAATTGCGTTGGAGAGCGCCCCAAAACAATGCAGAACTGCGTTGTTGTCTTACGTTGAATCTGTACAGATGGGGCAGTAGAACAAGATTTGTTTCTTTAGTGAGGCATGACAGCGCAAGTAAATCTTTCGCTGTGTCGAGTTCGTCTGCTATCCAATAAAGCAGTTCCGTGGGCAAATGAAGGAAACCCATCTATCGTTTATTAGCTTATGCACCACTCCGTATGGTAAATAGGGCTGGGAATACTCACATTGATTGTATAGAGAAGGAAGAGGAGTTGTGCCATTTTATATCTGAAATTAAAATGCGGCATGATGTTGGTTCTTAACGCTAGAAGGTTATGGTTCCTAGGAAGCCATACTGGGTTATAGGGCCCCGGCTCATAATTGTTACGCCAAGCAATACAATGAGGTATACCGTATAGGAGATGTGGAGGAAGTGTCTATCCACCACCGGAGCCGCTTGTTGATACAAGTTCATATTTCCATTCATTCTTCAGGCTTCATGTATATTCTTGACAAAGACTAGGTATGCTCCCGGGAATGAAGGTATGCCCAGAATCTAAGATTCAGCTCCCGTTGAACACATTTTGCCAAAGACGAATCGCAAATTACTGTTATTCTCGTTTGTGTTTCCCATACAGTCGATAGCGAAAACGGCTTCTACTCCAGACTGCTTTTCTTCTCCCCTAGCGCAGGTCTTATTATGACCAGACCACACCAAGTTGGGGGCCACCGTAACATACCGCGTACTTAGTGCCACAACAACCAAGCTTCACCGTTTAAAATTTAGAGCAGAGGTGTATTTTTACGGAAAAGCTACAATACCATACGGTGCTTGGTACACTGGCCCTCAACTTCATGTACTCCTATCAATAGAACATCTGCGCTAAGGCCTTGGCAGTGGGGCTGGGAGAAGAAAAGCAGCCTAGGGGGTAGAAGCCGTTTTCGCGACTGACAATCGAGTCAACGATGATGGCAAATTTCGCTCAGTATCTTCTCTTAAAACAACCAGCTACGACCATTGATGCGTCTAAAGCTCGTGTAAAAACCTTGTTTCATTACGAACGATCAATCTTCCAGGACCAAGTCAGATCAGCTAGGGTTAATTTTGTTCCCATGATCAGCGGGGCTGTTCCCAGGAGGCGTAGGAATGATTCCTACCTACCCAGGATCACAATCTAGGCTCCCAGGAGCCCCTGATGCACATGGGTTACACGCTGGGACCGTAGATTGTTTCTCCCATTTAAACCTGTTCATTGCTGCACCTTCTTCGTTAAATGTTCTTTAGTAAACGTCAACATTTTTCTCCGTACTACACTGTTCAGAACTGAATCTCTCCTCCGAGCACAATGGTAAGTTATGCATCCTGATCCTTCTCGCAGCATGGTGAGGACCCGGCTAAATCCGCTTAGGGGAATTCGTTAAACAGGATTACTCTCTCCGACGCGAGCCTGCGTTTGGCCGCTGATGAGTTGTGGTCAGCCACCAAATCCCATGACCATCAAGCTGTAGATCAACTGCTTCAAAACGGAGCTGACCCTTTAGTACCTGGCCAGAGCGGTGAATCGGCCTTTGAACTATCGGTTTACAGTTCGGAAGATGGTTGCGATGGGAAAGAAACCTTTCAGGAACTCACGAAGCTATTTCTCGAGAATCTGCGCCCGCCAGGGCTCGGACGGCACACGAAGCTCAACACGGAAGGCTTGCCCCCTCTTTGCTGGGCAGCGCGCCACAACGCTGTCGATGTCATGCGATATCTCCTGGATCGCGGAGAGGACGTTAATCAACAAAGCCTCACGGGGATGAGTCCACTACATTACTCAGCAAAATGGGGCTGTGAAAAGACATGTGCCCTTCTACTTAAGCAGAAGAAAATTAAAATAAACCAGAAAGATCGCGACGACGCTACGGCCATTCATCATGCTGCAATTGGGAGGTCGGTAAAGGTGCTCAATCGACTGCTACTAGATCCGAATTTGGATTGTGGAAGCCGAGACAAGCATGGAACCACGGCGATCTGGTGGGCGACCCGGATTGATTGTGTTTCCTTCGTAAAGCGGCTACTGGCCGAAAGTGGGGCAAGAGATCTTGCCTTAACAGAAATCGGTCGTGATCCGGTCACGACCCAAGAATCAAGCGTACTTCACAATGCCGTCCTGCATGGCAATATCCAGGTCGTGCAATGGCTACTGGCGGAGCGCATCAATCCAAACGTAATTGCGAATGGCCGAACCCCCTTCTGCTTAGCGGTAGAGTATGGACATGTCAAGATCGTCAAGTACCTTCTCACGGATGACTCGATTGATATCAACGAATGCACGAGCTTCGCACTGTCGCCACTCAGTGTTGCCCTCGAAAGTGGGAATTTGAAAATGGCGCGGTTGCTCTTGACACAAAGAAGTCGTCTAGATTTTGAGCAGCAGCTTGGTACCAATATAAGCAGAAATTCTATGGTCGGCTTCACGCGGGCTAACGGAAAGCTAGAGATTGGTACAAGGCGGGCTGATGGAAAATTGGATGTCATTAAGGCACCATCCATAGGGTGGTAGATTGCCACACGGTATGATTACACTGTTTTGATAGGGTAGGTTGACTAGCTTCCTTATCCTGAGTTCCCTGCTGAATGATGTAAGTTACATACTACAGTGCACTTACATTGGAGATTGAAGAAGATCATTCTAGCAGAGCACAATTTGGAGTAACCCCTATCCCGGTGATATTTTATCATATTTTAGATTGATAATAAGATGATTTTTAATCATTAGCCACTCGGATGAGGTCGTTTTCAATGTGGTTTTCTCTGATCGCAGACTTGGCGAATCCCACGAGTTCTCGAGACCCCGGCGTTGACTCCCATATGAAGTTTCACATCCTAAAGTCTAAAGAACTCTGAACATAAAAAATAGCTGCGTGTTTAACGGTCACAGTTGTTTCCTACTACAGTACAGGAAGAGCGCAGAGATTGTTGTTGATCTTGCCCTGAAGGGGATGTTGAAAATCATCCCGGTTGCTAAGATATTGATGACGGCTGGGTTCCCGTGTAGACATATATTATTCTCTCTCGGCGTACTTGTATCATCACTTATATATCAACAGGGGGACTGGTGAAAAGAGAAAAAGTGGTAAGAGGGACTGGACCCTGCGCTCGCTCGAAGCTGTAAAACATAATTTCTAACAAATCTATGGTACGTGTCTCGTTTGTAGAAGGAGAACCCTGGAAAGCTTTTTTGTCCACTTGCATAGGCTGGTTGATCTTATATGCTCCTAGCAAAAGCAGAATCCGCCGAGATCCTGTAGTCTCATCACTAAGCCATTCGCAGGCGTAAGATCGCAATTTTCAATGTACCGTATGATAATCCATGTCTCAGACCGTGCTCACTGATCGCTCAGACCGTGTTTACTGATCACTCAAATGTTGATTCCGGAGCTCGGCAAAAGTGAAAAATTACATGTATGCTGAAAACAAACAGATGATTTTTCAAGATCCAGATTTGATTCTAAAGGAATTAAGGTTGATAAAAAAACCTCTGAATGCAGAAACGGTGACTGACCTTATCAAGAAAAGAATAGGGGATGATCCTACTGTGTATAATAAAATTTTTCCCGTCGTGATGAAAACAGTATACGTAATGAACCCTAATGTTAACCAGCCTATGTTCTACTTTAGCCGGAAAAGGAAACGAGAATGTGTAGAAAATAACGACGATTTTGTTGTGAGTAAGCGCATCATGAGGGGGAACTCTTATAAGCCCTAAAGCCCCAAAGGCCTAAAGTAAGTTCCTATATTCGCAATCTTGAATAAAAATAATAGTGAGAGCTGTGGGTGAATAGGATGTATTGGGCCCGTTTTTTAATCAGTGTCCTTGCTATATGCCATTTGGTACATCGTTTCAAATGTCGCAAGTTCTATGATAGTTGTAATCAAATGCAGACAAAAGCCCAACAGATTGCACAATGCTGGCAAATACTACCAAGATATGAAAAATCTGATGGGAAGCACCAAAGATGTCAAACTTTCCTGGATTCAAAGCTTCAGGGATTCTCTTCTGTATTTATTTATCAGTGCTTCTGTTGGTGGCTCTCGTCATTGTGTATGGAATACTAACCGTATAGAACAGTGTACCCAGTAATAGGAGGAATCCCTTGGTAAAGTAGTACAGCATTCCAGACTGTTTGACCATTTTCGAGAAGCCAAAGACAATGATACCGTGAACGAGGGGTGCCAAACCTGCAAGACCGATGCCGACAAAGATAAAGATACGAAAAGTGCGCCAGCGTGGATCCTGGAACTTTGGGTGCATTAAAATTAAGATTGTCGCGAAGCCAAGTGTGATCATCTAGATAAGCGTATCTTTAGGCTAAGGATGTCGACTGAGCGTTTGTTTGACATACCATAGCCCAGTATGCCCACTTCACAGTAGACTCGCAGTAGAAAATCATGCCGATCCAAGACACAAATTCACCCAAAATGAAGATAATGATCCCGACAAAATCTAGCCGTAACCATAATTTTGAAACGTTTTTGGAGTGGTTTGTCAACGTATGGTATGTCGCTGATGTTACCAGGCATATGGTCGCTGTCAAAAGAAAGAAGGCAAAAACAAGGTAATCACCAATTGCTGCCTTGGGGTATCGTGTGTGAAGATAGTGGTACATCACGCCTTCCGCCACAAGGGATAGTATCCCTGGGATCAGGTGAGAATAGATGTTGATAGTTTCATTATGCAGAGAAAACAGACTGGCAAAACATGCACGGGTAGAGTGTGATACAGGGCGATAGGCATCAAGAATGAAGGCGTTGTCTTGGCAGAAATCCGGCATCTCATTGTAGGATAAAAGTGTGGCATGTTTGCTTCCAAGTGGGGTTGAAGTGGGTGTTGTTGGTGCTTCCATCACTGCAGTTGGTGAAAGAACGGACGGTGTTCTCTGGCGCAGGAATGAAGTCATTGTAGGTTTGGTGTCGAATTAAAAGAGAAATTGGGTAGCTTTCAGCTTCTTGGCAGTTTATGGGGGTTCGTGTGCGGTATTTAAACTTTCTTGAGCGTGTAGGAACGTCGACATATTAAATTGTTGATCACATTGGCCGCTTGGCTGCATAGGCATATGCCTAAATTCTACAAAGTCGCTGGATTTACCGTAGTGTCGCTGGAAAAAGCCTCTCTCGCAGTTTGATTTCGTGTTTACAAAGCGTCAGACCAAGAATCCTGGTCAGGCGTGAACGAGAGTAGTAAACCGTCGGATATAATGTTGGCTAACCGCTCAAATTTTGTATTGATGTGGTTGAGCGTTGTGTTATGGATGCTTTGTGGGTCTGGCAAACTTTGCAAATCTACGCAGCCCTCTGAGAGAATGCCGTTCAGACGTGAGAACAGGAGATTTATGCTCTCGACTCAATGTAAATTATGGAAGCCAATTCGAAACCGAGTACTCTAGCGTGCAGATCGAATAATCGACAGAGATCATCACATGTTTAGCCCCTGCAACTCGGGACTTCCTCAGATGGAGGGAAACGATAATGATAGGTTTTTATCCTACGAAGATATGGTCTGGTCGTGATGCCAGTGGATGCTCACTATTCTTCCTTGTTTGGAGCTGAGCCATTTAATATGTGTTTTGTCTTGTCTTGAAACCAGTAACAAGTGACCGAATATTTCTATGAGCCTAAATATCACCTTAGTTGATAAGAAAATGAGCTTCGGCCGAAGCATTTGCATTGCACATACCCTAAACCGTCAAATGTGTCATAGAATATCTGCAATATCATTTTCAACGATACCCCATTCTGCTTTTAACTAAAAACTCCAATTTCTCCTCCAGTGTTTCCACTTCTTTTTCCAGATGCTGAAGTCTGGGTAAAGCTTCTGTGGTAATGCCAACTCCCCACTTTATTTCTTCATTCCAGGTCTGTTGTCTCGAATACTGTTCTTTTATCCCTCTGGGAGTATATCAGATTGAATAATAATACTGTATATTCCGCTTCACCAGACCGAACTTACCTTGCACGATTTTCCAAGCTATGGAGACGTCAGCGACTAATAGATCCTCGCTGTAGGACTCTCTTACTCTTTCAGGATCCTAATAACGAGCGTCACAGAATAAAATTTATTCGCAGGGGGTTGTGAATGAATTGAATTTTCAACTCCCGTCTACAAGTGCTTCACTTCCGTCTCACAGGCTCAGATCATCTCCATCGGGACGTCCGATCGGAGGCTATCTCGCACGTTCGAGAACAGGGCGGCCAACGCAAGGAATGTCCATGCGGTTGTTGGGGCGGATTGGCCAGACGATCCCCGCTCATCGACGACGAGTTTGACCTGTCCGGGACCTGGGAAGAAGAGTCGGTCCTATCTTGCGAATCTCCGATAACCCGCCCGTGTCCCAGTCCAGATATGTCGGAGGTTGCAAGCGATGGGTCCGGTGAAGTCCCAGAGGTCCTGGACTTTGCAGATTGGGCTTTCGGGCCCACCGGCCTACCCAGACTTGAGGTCATGGCGTTCGGGGACTTTACTCACGAAGGTCGGCATTGGAAACAGAGTTTTGTGGTGCGTCGGAGACCCTCAGGGCCATCGTCATTATATAATTCAAGGCCGATTTCTGGTCCCGGTGGACGCGATAGCTGGTTTATTTGCATTGGCGACGTAAACGAGCCGTCTTTCTGGAGCGATGTCGGTTATGATGGCAGTCTCTTTCTTTCAGCTTGTCCAGATGGTGATCTGATGGAATCCCCTGACGAATGGTGATCAACCGAGGATGGGATTGGTTTCTCTAAGATGCCCTCATTGGGCATACTTGTCCTGACTTTCGAATGGAAAACTTTTGGGCTACGCTGCGGCAGTATTTGTCTTGATGGAAGAAGCATGGAATATGTACAGGAAAGCCATGAAGCTATGCACATTATTTGTGCGTATATGCAAATGAGGATTCCAGACTTTCCTCAAATTCAGCCTGATGAAATAATGTATCCGCGTGATGCTTGGAGTCTCCCTCCACGGAAAGCAAAGATATATATGTCGGGGGAAAAAGTGCTCATTTGCGCGTTCTGTACATATCAGTTCACGGGATAATCTAATCTAATGATCCATTGACCCGAGTGTGAAATAAAGCATCGGCCGCAAGAGAGTCTCATTTGCTTTGAAGTCTCTGGGCGATCACGATGAACTGGGCCGGCTCTCCTGGCCCCAGCTGCAGACCGAAGTGACAAGCCGCACATGGCGTGTATTCATACACACGTGACCTTCCCCCTGCCACGCCACACGCGCTTCGCCAAGAGGTCTTGAGGTCGTCCTGAATGACCTCCTGACTCGGGGTCTTCGGCCCAGTGCGCCATCACCCTTCTCACACGCCAAATATCAGTATTTGAGATTCAGATTCAGATTTGAACCGCACTTCCATCGCAATGACAACGTATTCTTCTAGAGCGAGGTGTAATAAGGTCTCAATTTTTAGATTTTGTCGGTTCAAAGTAAGAAAACCAGTGTATTCCTGTATTCCTGGCTAATAAAGCATCAACTGCTAAATTAGCGGGGCCCCTTTGCGACCGACTTTCTATCGACAATTAGAAAATGCACTTCTGGAAAACACCGTGCAATTCCTCCATGGTTGTATTCTAGTATGATGCGGACTGGATTCCACAAACCGATAGATTTCATCATGTGGGACGGCAGTGCCCAAATGCTGTTATGATTCTGCAGTTCTCAGAGACGAACAGACAAACGATCTCAAACGAGGACAATCTCCAAAAACACCCAATAGATGGCGAACAGGTATTTCTTCATTCATTTTTTTGCCCGAGCTCCGACGAAAAAAACAGTTATTCGGTGACAGGGCGTCATTGATTCGTGATTACAAGATTTTCCATCATTGAACCGACTTAAGCGAGCTACCCAACGTGACGCTTGATAGTAGAATTCTCTACCGTTACAAAACAAGTTGAACAGTGTAGCTGCAGCGAGGTATTAGTGAATACTAAATGTATGCGACCTGGCCCGCGTTCACTAGGTCAACGGGCTAGCATCCGGTGAAAAACGGAGTTCTGTTCAGTTCAACAAATCCGTTTGTTTGTTTCAGTTCTACCAAATGGGGAATCTAGCATGTGATATTCTCTCGTTCAAGACAGACTGCTTTAAGAGATTGTCAAGTGACCTTGAGAATTGGTTAAAAGATTATTATCTTAACAACAAATGCAGTGTGTATCTTGGATTGTAAATTCTATTCAAGCCTGCAAAAACACATCACCAAATGGATAGGGCAAAAAATCTCAACTAAAGATATGAGTCGTCATGAGGTGTGAATAATTTCAAGAATTACACGCGTCGATGAAAATTTCAATGAGACGTGCAGAATGTTCGCTTTAAATGGGGGGTACTTGATGACCGAACTGATGAGGGTAAGTTCTACAGCAACCTTTGGACCTTTTTAGTCGTGTAAAGTCGTGTAAAGTCGTGTAAATTCGTGTAAAATTGAGGATAGACCTTCGCTTCCTCGGTTTATTTCTAGCCGGGTAATAATCCCCAGCACCACGAAGAGGTGTCTACCATCGCCGAAGGACGTGTAAAGAACGAACGGGAGTGTTCGCATCCCGCCGCTGGTGCGCTGATTGGAAGCCTCCATGCGTTGAACTTAATCCGACCTGGTACTTGATCCAGGATTTGTGCAAGACCAATGGTCTGCGTGTGGAACTGAATCCGACCTATATCGTAATCTCAGGATTTTGACCTGTTTTACACGGCGGTCCGCGTGTGGAACTGAATCCGACCTGGTACTTGATCCAGGATTTGTGCAAGACCAATGGTCTGCGTGTGGAACTGAATCCGACCTAGGCTACAGTCTAGGATTTTTGACCTGGTACTTGATCCAGGATTTGTGCATGACCAATGGTCTGCGTGTGGAACTGAATCCGACCTAGGCTACAGTCTCAGGATTTTTGACCTGGTACTTGATCCAGGATTTGTGCATGACCAATGGTCTGCGTGTGGAACTGAATCCGACCTATATCGTAATCTAGGATTTTGACCTGTTTTACACGGCGGTCCGCGTGTGGAACTGAATCCGACCTGGTACTTGATCCAGGATTTGTGCAAGACCAGTGGCCTGCGTGTGGAACTGAATCCGACCTAGATCGCAATCTAGGATTTGTGCGTGCTGTAGCCTCGACCGAAGTGGGCTCACAGCAAGGAGCCAATACTTCCACCTTCAAAGGGACTGAAGGCTGAAGGAGAAAAAGAGGCGAATGGCCTGTCTTTTAAGCTTTGTCCTACGGGGCGTCGTATGTGCCAAAAATGCACAGGGTCCGAGACCTAGCGTTGGTCCCTAGTCCAGTTGTGAGCTAGCCAATACAGAGCACTGAATAAATTATACAAATAGCATTCGGTCCCGTTACGTCCGCGACTGCAAACTTTACGTCCATTTCGAGGTCTCGGTGAAAATTTGTCATCTTATTTTGCTCCTCGTTTCGACTACACAAAACCCCAAAGTTGAAGATAGACAGTCCAGAGCCAGAAAAAAGAAGTGAGAAGGGAGAACATGTCGTATCTTGAAATAAGTGAACTTTGAGATCCCACAAAATCCCCGAAACTTCTGTTATGCCACGCAAAGCCGCTTCTTTGCCAGAGAACCAAGGCGGTTAGTTACGATTGGGTGTCTGTGGTCGCGGGATGTCTATTGTACCTTTGCTCGGGCATGTTCGTCGCGAGCCAACTTCATAATTCTTTTTCTCCGACCCTGCTCAGTTGTGAAATTCGGCTACAGATTATTGTCTGGATGAGCCAATTATCGTTTCGGTTTGGAGGGTGGCGTAGGGCTTGCTTATTAGATTATGGAGGAGATGAAGAACAGGTCAAACTGTGTCCGGCTGAGCAATGACACTTGATCTACAGCTCTCGTATGAGAGAAGTCCATGTATTACAGTATAATCTACTTTGCTGACTCTATGATTTATCATAGATGGACAACGGCCTCAGTCTCACCCACTTGGCCCCATGGCTGCATTCGCTGGCAAGGAGTCAGAAAATCTATTCTTCTTTCTAGCTTTCAACTCTAGATGTTCGGAGGACGCTGTGTGCCGTTGGGAAAAGTGTATAAATTACAGCTAGTAACATGTCACGCTTCCGGACAGGCACCATAAAGATTGTGATCAGGCAGGAGTTGAAAGCGGGGTCTCTTGACAAATTGTGTAAGTGGGTCGCCGTGCGCGAGAGTATATTAGAACGTCAAAGATAAATAGGAGGTGGAGGGTTGGCTTCATTTTGAACAGCGGTACCCAACCAAACCCAACTTCTACTGTTGGTGGCGTCAAAAGCCTGTTCGCTCGATAATCTCTCAAAAAACTGCGTCCGGCGCCGAGGCCTGGCAAAGCATTTCGATCTCCCTCAGAAAATTTTCAGGCCAGAAGAAGGTGAGTCTACGAATTGTCCAGTTCGATGGACCTAATAATAATCTGATATCAGACTATTCCTTTCCGTGTTGCTGCTATCACCCTGAAAATCACTTTCTTCAGTGCGGCTTTTGTGGCAGACAACACCCATCAATTAGACTCTTCGTTGATACAGTGCAACTCTCCAGTCGCAAGTCAAGAAGCACGCGAGGAAACCTGAGCAGTCTGCGGGCACTACTGAGCTTAGACCCCACCAAGCCTCATCTGTGGTATCTTTGCGAGGGCTGAGAAAGGAAAAAAGACGACTTTTACGCCAGCTCAAGCAAATTCGCGTGGAAGTGGGAATTTCAGAATTAGAGTACAGGGACTTATGTTCCCAGGCCATCCAAGTTGTGACTCTTGGCTTTTTGCTTCGTTCTCGGAGAAAGATGTCTTTGACGGTGTCGAACGGTGTATCGTGACATGATCGCACTGTGCCGGCATTCAGGAATAGGCTGCCCCACTCAAAGCGCTACCGTTAGCACTAGATGTGCCATGATCCTTTCAGCCCTCATGAAACAAAGAAGACTAGCCAGCCAATGTAAGAAGAGATGTGAAACTTACGCCGAGGGTGTAACAAGAGATCCCAGTCGATGTGAAATTACGCGTATGGTTAGATTCCTCTTCATTCAGCCCGTGCAAAATAGTGTAGAGATCCTGAAACGGAAGATGAACGTTTTGTAGTCCGCGTGACAAGATCTTCAAGACTAGCAGATAAATTACCCATCTTCGCCCCTGGGACAGTCCTCAACCAAATCCTTCTCCTTTGATTAGAATACTTCGCGCTGCCATTCACCATGCCTAAAGCAACGACAACCTTGAAAAACCCGACTGTGCCGTCCCAGCGAGCCGCTCGTCAGTCGATGGGAGCAGCAAGACCTCGCACGCAGCCCGTCGCGACTGTGCTTGAGACTGAGGACAATGGCGTTCGAACAAGACTTCATCGATCGACGAACGTGCGAGCAACCTAGCTGTCTGAATCTTTAATCCGTCATTTCCACTCATACATTTCTTGACAGGGACGAAGCACCCGCCCAACCAAAGCCGCGAAACAACACGATACCGAAGAGGATTTTGATAAGGACCATGCCGAATGCCTTGAAGCAATGCAGGATGCCGAGGAGACCAACCGACTGTTAACAACGAGGCTGAACGCGCAGCGACGTGAAGCTACCGCCAGTGCGCAGCGATTCAGCAGAGAGCGACACGAGATGGCAGCCAAAAGTCAGCAATATCGTCTAGAGATACAGAAACAATCCAATGAGCTCCAACGCTTGAATGGGGAGGTTTCCCGGCTACAGCGACTTCTCGATGCGGCCAACTCAGATGCCCGTAATTTGGTACAGCGGACCGAACTGCAACGAATTCTAGAGGGTATCCATGCTGCTGGTCATACATTTATGGGCCACATCAAATCCCAAGTAGATGAGAATCAGAATGCTCAGGATCTCACCGAGCTGCCCGGGATAAATATGACCGGGGACTGGCTAGACATACCAGAGTTTGATGTGAATGACGATGCAGGCTTTGCAGAAATGCCAGATACTCTATTCCCGCGCCGGGCCCTGGTGCCCGTGATATCTGATAATCGAGCCGGGGTTTTCTCTTATGAACTTCTGTTTCAGTGGAATTGAAACCAATAATTATCCTTTAAGTCTAGTTCAATAAAATTACAATGGCACGAAATACAAGACAGCTGACTGTACGCTGGCATGGATTCCAGCGTTAGGGATTGCGAAGATAAAACTAAGATGGCAAGAAATGAACGAGGCTGGGAAACAACGACCTCGGTCGCATTGTAGCAATCCTATTCTTTGTGGAAGTAGCGTCATGGAGGGATTGAAATCAGAGTGTTGACCTTGACCAATAATGCTGGGTGTTGCGGCAAGTGAGAAGAGTGAGACATGTAATTGCGATTAGGAAACATCCGTGGCAATAGCTGATGGCCTTGACTCCACGCGCAGCCTCTGCTCTATAGATTGCTTCCACTAAGGTCCGTTCTATTCGATGCATTCGCGGTCCTGTCATGCAACTTTAAGCAAGCTCACATGCATGTGTTCTCGCGGATCTATAGCTTCTGCATCCTTCAGGATTATTGCTAGATGTGTTCGATCTGCGATGCTGGGTTGTTTTGGAAACTGGGAGCAGATTCTGGCGCCCCGCCGCCCCCAACAAAAGGCCTTCTTACTTTCAAGCCACAGCGACCAGGATTCCATTTTCAAATGAGGGGCCAGTCACGCACACGCGATCGCCACAGAGCGTTGAGCCTATCATATGAACCACGAACCGCCCGGCCCAGCCTAAGGGTTAGATAAGATCCAGACCACTACCACCAGCAGGTATTGGATGCATCATTGATGGTGGATAGGCGCAGCTGCCGCAGAATAAAGAACTGCAAATAACTCCAGCATTTGCGGGGTATGAGGGGTCTAAAAAGGGTGCTTGGTTTCGTGAAGCTCTAGTGATGGCGACAAGAATGGGCACATCAACCAACAATCAAATACTAAAACTGATTGGTGGGGTAGTTGGTTGGTCGAGTGACAAGGAATTTGTCATTCCTGTTGGTATCCACTTTGGACCCCTTGGTTTGTGATGGTCGGGCGAGAGCGGTGATTCCCGTGCTGGATCTTCAGGCGGGGCTTCTTAAACCAATGGCCTTTAATCTTCCAGCCGGGCCATAGTTCCGGTACAGAATTGGAAGTGGCGGTCTACGCATACCACCACAAGGCAATTCCGAGCTACCATGATGAGCTGCATGTACAGTAGAGGCGATGGGCTACCACGAGGGAGAACAAAGAACAGAAAGGCGAAAGGTATTGAAACAATCGTCAATGAAGCACTCGACTGGGAAAGAAGAAGCGGAGCGACTTTTGAAGCAGAGAAAACTGCCATTATACACTTCGCCCCTAAGGCCAGCAAGTTGGACTCGGAGCCATTCACTATCAAGGGAGAGACCGTTGAACCCAGAGACCATGTCAAGGTTCTTGGCGTCATCATGGACACGAGACTCAAATACAAGGAACATATCGCGAGGGCAGCGTCCAAGGGACTCAAGGCGGCGATGGAGCTTCGGCGGCTTCGGGGTCTATCCCCAGCAACAGCGCGGCAGCTATTCACATCGACCGTAGCCTCGGTGGTGGACTATGCCTCCAATGTCTGGATGCACGCATTCAAGAATAAGAACATCGGGCCGATCAACCGAGTGCAGAGAGTAGGAGCGCAAGCGATCGTCGGGACATTCCTTACAGTTGCGACCAGCGTAGCGGAAGCAGAGGCTCACATCGTCACGGTGCAACACCGGCTCTGGAGACGAGCTGCAAAGACGTGGACAGACATCCACACCCTACCAGCAACCAATCCCCTCCGCAGGAGTACTGCTCAGATCAAGAAATTCAGAAGATACCACCGCTCGCCATTGTATCAGGTCGCAGATGCGCTGAAGAGCATTGATATGGAAACACTGGAAACCATCAATCCATTCACATTGGCACCATGGGAGGAACGTATACAGGGCGATGGTCAGAATGTACCAGAGACACAGACCGAAATGGGCGGAATAATACGAATCGCGGTTAGTAGTTCGGCGCGGAATGAGATGGTAGGATTTGGCGTGGCGATTGAGAAACAACCACCTCGATATCGAAAACCGAGGCTGAAAACTTTCTCCGTCACGCTGGGTGCAAGAACCGAGCAGAACCCATACTCCGGCGAATTGGCAGCAATGGCATATGCACTGGGCACGCTACGGGGACTGAAACAGTGCAGGGTCACGCTGCTCACGAGCAACAAAGCGGCGGCTCTCACGCTGAAGAACCCTCGACAACAGTCGAGCCAGGAACACATCTGCCAAGCATACAAGCTGATCAAGAGACTACGGAAGCACGAGAACCGCATCAACAACGGTTGGGTCCCGACCAGCGAAGATAATCAACTGCTAGGCCTAGCAAAAGAGCGGGCTCGGACCGCAACCCAAGAGGATTCTACAGTACCCCACAAGCACAGGTCCCCCGGGTGAAGTCGACTACACTGAACATCTCAAGATCCCAAGCAGTCCCCAAAGATTACCTGCCAGAGAATATAGGGAAACACTCCAAACGAGTGGATGTAGCACTCCCAGGAAAACATACCCGGCAATTGTATGATCGATTATCGTGGAAACAAGCAAGTGTGCTAGCCCAGCTCCGGACTGGCATGGCGAGACTCAATGGATACCTCTATCGAATCAACGTCGCAGAGTCAGATCAGTGTGCATGTGCGCAAGCAAGAGAGACCGTGGAGCACTTTCTCTTTCGATGTCAGAGGTGGACCACACACCGGACGGAAATGCTGCAATGTACTCATACTCACCGAGGCAACATATCATTTTTCCTAGGCGGGAAATCGCCTTTGGATGACCAGGACTGGAAGCCGAATTTAGAAGCAGTGCGAGCCACAATACGGTTTGCAATCGCCACGGGCCGACTCGACGCTGCTTAGCCGTGTCGACCAACACAGATTAACCCTACTCCAACCCAACCCCCACCAACTACCTTGTGCCAGAGACGGTAGATGCGCTTCAATTGCCGAAGATAGGATGTTGAACACTTGGAGAACTGCCTTCAAGCAAGTCTACTAACTAAACACTAACCCACAAGGACCCGCTACGATATTGATATCTGAGATGACATACACTGAAAGGAATCTTGTATGGGCTCCAAGGAGGCACAGAATTAGCCATAGCATGTATATTTAGATCAGTGATAGTTGCCCTTTCGGTTCAGCCGCCGGGCGTTAATGAATTGTGTATGTGTGTGTGTAAGAGCTGTTTTCGTACACCCACTGTCCCGAAAATTCATGTTTTGAGTCATTTCAATGAAAAAGCAGATTGTCATTTAAGCATACAATTTGAGGATCAATTTAACCTACAAAAGCAGTAGCATTAATAACACTAACCTCTCGCAAAGTTGCAACCCTGGATTAAGAGAGGTATCAAAGAACCAACCATCTGTACCTGTGCATTGCAGTTTCAATTAAATCACAGCTTCTAATGGAATCAATTTTGTCAATTTGATTGCACAAGGCTAGATAGTACGTGAAAATATAGAAACTGCAACACTAGTATGATCAAAGCGACGCTTGTTAACAGCAGATGAAACCACAATACTATTATGATAAAAGCGACGCATAGTAATGGCGAAGCCAGGAATCCCCAAATCGCATAAGCAATCTAGATTATTGATTAGTATCAGTTTGGTACCTCGATTAAACTTGACTCACCAGGAAAAAATGTCCGAGAAGTTTCCATCCTCGAGATGGAGATCGATGCAGATTGTATCCAGATCTTTTATTCAGAAGTAGCTGTACAATACCTAGATGGTGATGAAGAATTGCAAGGTGTAGAGGTTTAGCTCCAGCGCTGTTTTCTTCATTGATCGAGGTAGTCTCATACCGGAGTAGTTCATAGACCGCTGAAGTGTGACCTGAACTTGCAGCTTCGTGCAGGGCAGTATCTTCATTATGATTCTTCACATTAGCTAATGTTCTGTCGTGTAATAGCAGCACCGATATAATAAGATGGTGGCCAAATCGAGCGGCAAGATGTAAAGGAGTTTCGCCTTTCTTATTCGCACCATGCAAATATAGCGTTGGCCTCTTAAGCAGCTCTCGAGTGACTAAAATACGTCCGTTTCGGGCAGCATGATGCAGTGGTGTATCCCCAAAATGGTCATTGGAGTTTATGATATCAATACCGTACGATAGTAAAACTCTGATGACTAGGTGGTGCCCAAATCGTGCCGCATGGTGTAAAGAGATTTGCTCCTCTTGATCTTGGATACCAATATCTGCCCCGGATGTGCAAAGAACCCCGACCTTGTTCGCAAAACCGAGGGCTGCTGCTAGGCTGATTGGAGTTGTATCTGTCCTATCACGCCAGTTGACATCTATTCGGTAATCGGTTAAAAGTGCGCGGAGAGATCGAATATGGCCATGTCTGATGGCATAGAACACCGGTGTTTGATTATTCTCGTCAGGTAAGTTGACCTTCATCCGAGGATGCAACAACAGTCGCTGGATGAGATTTGAACTGCTATGCTCGATGGCCCATAAAAGGGCTGAACTATGTTGAACATCCACGTTCAAGTCATCAAGCAAACGTAGATAAATTGGACAGAGCTGATGACTTGTACATGCCACTGAAAGGATATCTTTTGAATCATTGAGATTGACCCCTACTAGATTATGTATTTCAACAGGTAATTTGAGGAATGCCATCACTTTTCTCATCTAGCGCCCATGTACCAAGTTTAATTGCGGAATACTCATATATAGTAAAGCTCCGCCATGCGGGAAGAAAAACCACGATAAATTGAGTGGGAAAAGAGGTCTCTTTAAATGAGGATAGAGATACGCAGGATTTCCCCAAAAGAAACGAACCATACATGAAAAATTGTTCCCAGGAAGTATTAGAGCGTTGTGAGGGAGAAAAGCGCATAGAACATGTTTAAATGGGAGGAATTATCTAAGCGTGTAACACATGTACTTCAGGCTCCTGGGAGCTTAGATTATGATCCTGGCTAAGAATCGTTCCCGTCGCCTCCTGGGAACAGCCCCGATGATCATGATGAGGCATACACGCTAAGTGGAGGAACGGACCCACATGGTGCATCTGGGTTTCCCTGGACGCGAGGGAGTTATATTTCTTTTGCTTCCTCGTGCTACGTCTTGTATCTAGAGTCGATTATAGCTTTCGTTAATATTGATCATTCATCAGAAAGACGCGCTTCCCACCAACAGATACGTGATACCCTCGCATGGGAATAAAATTGCCCCTGAGTGATTTAACTCCATCCTGGGAGATCGATCGTTCTTAATGAAACAAGATTTTTACACAAGCTTTGAACGCACTAATGATCGGTATCTGTTTTAGGAGAAGCCACTAAGCGAATATTGCCATCATCGTTGACCTTCGCAAGTTTGAACAATATAGTTTTCCTTGTTTCGCTGGTTTTTGTTCTCATATAATACCACTGCATTTCAGGAGGCCTCAGTTCAGGTGAAGCATCAAGTCAACCTAATCCAACCACTTCCTCGTGGCTTAGCGAGTCGTGTATCTTGAAGAGGTAAATCCTTTAGCTTACAATACACGTGGCTTATTTTATCCATCACTTCTACAATAACTCCAATTCATATAATTAACTTCAGGCAAAAGGAACTCGTCATGTTTACTACGGTACTGCAGCAGTAATCATCCTAAACCGATACTTGATTCAGATTCCCATGGGTCTTTGCCCGCGCACTACTTGAAAATTACTCTGCTGTTGATTTAATTTATCCAAAAAGGGACTTTTTCTTCTCGGGGACTCATTGGCATGCTGTCCGCAATTTCTAGTAATTACCAGAAAATCCTGTCAAGCGAAACCGTTAATTACTGTATCTTACTTGTCCTGTATTTAATGTTATTACGGCAATTCTTGAAGGTTGTGGCTGGTGGTAATTTATTAGGCTAAAGTAAATTTGTCATCAAGCTGTAATTTACAAGACGTCTGGCAAGTAAGTTACAGTTCTTTTTCGATTGTCGACCTCGCTTCAGCCTACCGCCTCATTTCTGCTCTCAACTACAAAATTCTGCTCGAGGAACTACTGTAGCATGGCGTGAATTATGAGGGAGGAAATATTCAGGGTTTTTTTTTCTTGCACGATGTATACACCGAAATCACTGAAGGCTTCTTCCCCCCTGCGGTTACCGGCGAGAGCTGTAATGCGCGAAGATCACTGCAATAAATGTATCCGCGGCAGCTTGCTATCGCTGTAGACTTCTCTTTCTCATATTGTCACACCACCACTACCGGAATCTGGAAGAGAATCCGAAATTTACGCGGACCCATCACGACGGGCTATCAGGCACTCGAATAGAGCCTTTCGGCAGGCTATCATCAAACCTGTGATAGTGGACCTCGACCTCGTGAGAGCTCCATCTGTCTTCCAGCGTGTGACGCAAAATACCCGGAGCTCTGCTATAGCTGGTTATAGATTCAAGGTGTATAGGGAGTTTTTTTTTGGCTAAATCTTTAGTAAATGGAAAGCTTGGCTTTTTTTCCCAGTCAACGAGCACTAGTTTGGTCAAGGATGCGGGAAATACTGCATTGGCGGCTAGATCTTGCTCGTTAATCTCGAGATCCTGAAGTCTTAAGAAAGAATCGAAAGACAAGATCTTATTGATCCCAGTCCAAGAATCGCGAATGCCACTGATATGTAAAGCCAGTTTCTTCAGGTGATTTTTGGATGAGAGCAATGCCTTGACGATCCCCGCCACTTTTGACTCGCAACTGAAGGAAGCACAGCTCCGTAGCTCGACCTTGTAGAATTCTACCACCTCAAGTCTATGAAGCCGCTGCAGAAGTCTAGTGGTAGACCGATATTCTAATGCACATGAGCCAATAACTAAGCGTTGGAGCTGTAATTCGTCTTGTCGGTGGTAGGTGTACAGCTGATTTCGTTCAACGGAAGAACGGAAGAGAGATATCTCGTCAAGGCCCAAAATCCAATCATATGCAGCTTTGATCTTCAAGTCCTGACCGAGGTAGCCAAAAGTACGACTATCAAGAAGATCTGCAGTAGCCACATGAATAGGAAGAGACAAAGAGCGAAGATTCGTAGCCTTTTGAAGAATTGGACGAAGGAGTTGTGCGAGCTTTCCCACATGCTGAAGCCTATGGAATTTAACAGAGATATAAAATATCTTTGGTCCAAGAGTTGGACGGCTCGTTAATGCATTTGCTAGAAGTTCTAGCCGCTTCCAAAGGTTTCGCTGATCGTATAGACCCGAGTGAAACTCTAAGAATATCATTGGTTGCACCAGCCTCTGGAAGCTACGCGACACGCGGCAAAAGCTTGTAAGAAATTTGATATCCAAGTAGTTGCAGATCATGCATAACAGTTCAGACGGCAATGATGCTATCAGACCTTGGGCAGATAATAGCTAGGCCTTACATTAGAGGAGCTGTATGAGGGCCACTGCGGGTTCTCGGTACAATATAGCTCACCTTGTTTTGCTTTCTTTGCCAAACCTCGTGTGCTTTCTGTTCAGCAGGGCGCTTCCGAAGAATCATTCCGATGGGAATTGTTGTGGTGGGTGAATTTCTGAATTGATCAAAAAGACGTGCTTCTTAGATGTCCGTAGCAAATCGCTTTTAACTGGCATCTGAGCAAGTTTGGTAGCAGGTTTTGGAGGTTGTCTAGGGAAAAGTTCTGTTCAAATTTATATCTCCATTAATATGAAGGCACCAATCAGGGATAAGCTCCTAGGAGCTTAGAGGAGTCTTCCATCCGAAACAAAATATGTCATTAAATCTAACGGGCCGGAAGGGCCGGCACACATTGATGAGGCCCCCGGATGGATTCCTGGGAACGTGCTGATGCTCCCAGGAGCAAATTCGGTATAGAAAATCTTAACTTTTTGGGTTTACTTCCACTCAATATTGCCTATTGCCAGAAAGGCATGAAGGCAAAGACAACGAAACAGTTCTAGTCAAGTTGGAGATGATCGCTGACGGGTTATCTGCTCGATATCCAATGAGAATGAAATAATTTACGTAGTTTATCTAGTTACACGTCTGCCTACATAGTTCTCCCAAATCGGGTAGGCGTTGGGAGAACGGAGAATGCTCCTAGGAGCGTCAAATCTCAATAGGTTCAAACGAAAACGAAATTAATCAGGTACATTCTGTTTGCAAAGGGAAAGATCGCCAGTTAGTGGCGACTTCACGAAGCTAACTCTTGTACAGCGGTCAAGCTAGCGTGTCGCGTTTTAATGAGCCCGCTTACAAAAGCCACCTGAGTTGCAAAAGCTTAGTAAGCAACTTAGGATTAATCAGGTCAGGGTCAGTGATCAGATCATGGGGTTAAGGGCAGGCTCACTGAGCAAATCAGGGTGCTTCGATCAGGCTCAGTGAGTGGTCAGTGTGATTACATAATGATCACTGATCAGCTCAGGCCGGTGAGGGGCGTGCTCAATTCTACTCCGGGAGTAAAAGCGGCGAGGGGGGTGAGCACTAAAACGGAAAGGGAAAGCCTAGAGTTGCCAGACATTTTCTAGTATATATGTTACGTAATGCCCCAAGAGGAAAACTGAATCCCCGGCTCTGGCATTCTGCAACCACGTGAAAACACAGCAGAGCGACAGACATCCAACCTGTTACCTGATGAATCTTGCAGCAAGTACGCCAGGTGATACCCAGAAGGTCAGCAAGGGAACCGAGGTGAGTGGCCGAGAGGGGAAAAATAAGGTTGATAAGAGCCAGCTCTCCAGCTCGGCGGCCAGCTTGGGCGACGGAGTGTGTATGGAAGAAAACCAGAGTGATATTGACCAGAGTGTAGGCAGAGTATATGAAAACATTCATCCGGGACCAGGGGCCCCAAATACGATGCCTGTGGATGAGAGCGGGAAGTGTGAGGTGCCGAGAGATCAGAACAGAGCAGGACTCGATCCAGCCAATCATAGTGGTTCGGGTCTGGATTAAGAAGAGAGCTAAAAAGCAGCCTCCAACGGCGATCGCATAAATGGATGACACATTCATCCTCAGCGGGGCCTTCAATCACGATGGACCTGGGAGATCGGCATATGAGGGGAGAGTGGACCTTTTTAAATGAAAGCTATTAACCACGACATCGTCATGTCCCTATTAGCGACATCTTGCAGTGGAGGCAGAAGCATCAGGAACAAGAAGCAGAATACTTCAGAGAGCCTCGACTAAGTGTTTTCCCAGCTTCTGCAGACATCAGAATGAATGAGCTGCCGTTGAGTGTACTGGGAAGAGACTGTGTCAGATAATGAAGGCTTTTCAAGACTCACAAATGCATCCCTTCTTGCTCTGAATCAACAAATCAGAATCGTCAAGAGAATAATGGAGTGAAACAGCCATATAAATGAGGTTATTCCTTCCTCCCGTTCGATATATTGTGGGCTTTTTGGCGATTCTCGGCGATTCTGAGCGCGCAATTTATCTCCCATAAGGACAGGTCCATTCCTAGCTAGCACCGAAGGTGCTGCACGGAAGCATTGAGAGACCTATATGTAACAAGCAGCCTGAATAGAGCGATAAATTAAAAGGGTGAGTGCAGTTAATCAACGAATGTACGAAGAGACTCCGCATTGTGTGTGCTCAAGGGGAGATAGGGGTTCGGCTTAGCACTTCTAAACGTGCGAGTTGAGCGGCAAAATCCATACCCCTTACTTCATAATCATATTTGATGCATTTTACTGGCTACATTAACACTTGTGAATGTATTTCATGGCTCTAGACTGAAAAGTTGCAGTCTGCATCTACGTTTCTGGTCTCGGCGTAGACAAGAGTGTGGATTTCGCGTCTAACTTCATAAGAGTACCGCTCATGGCTCAGTATTGATGAGAGAAAATAATATGGTAGCATACGAACAGAAAGATGAATTTCTCTTGCTCTTTTACGTCACTGCTCTTGAAAAAACTCTTCGCGATGCTTTTGCCATAGGAACGGGCTCGGGGCTCGAGGAAGCGTGACTTGAATCTTGGGAGTAGGATGAGAAGTACTGTATGCAGAAATAAATTATCCTGTGGTTCCTCGACCAAGATATAAGTACCCAATGTGCAATCAATTCTATGACCATCGTAACCCATCAGACTCCCGACTGACGTACACCCGCAACGGACGCCTGCGAAATGACCCCCAACAGATATGTTTCATCCACGGCCCTCGCTTCTGATCTCCGTTCCAGGCGCTATCGTGAGTCTGCTGTGGACAATCAAAATATTCATACTAATTATGAGTAGTTTTTCTTGCAACTCCAAGGGGACACCAAGCAAGAACACGTATCTGTCGTTTATTTTGCCAAATCGAGGAGCGGGTATCGCTACTTGAAAATACTCAACAGAATCTTATTTCCGAACTCGGAAGTCTGCGCAATTATTGATGGACCTTGTACCATGAGTATAATAAGGGAATGGTAGAGCTGGAGCAGGCCAGATTGCATCAGTGATCTGGACACAGATGACAAGGGACTATTTCCCGCGCCGTAAACAATGCTCTATTTGATAACCATGAGACACTGTCACCAGAAACTCTAGATGCTATCTCATTCCAATTTCAGTCGTCATTGATACAGGAAAGTACATTTTCTGAACCACGAGTTCTAGTATGGTTCTCGTAAGAAACCGGGCCCGGCTGTGTGTCTTATACTCCGATTGAATCTTCCATGAATTATACGATATACTGTGACCCGGTCTACTCAAAGTTCTTGTATTTTGAATATATCCACAAAGACTACACCTGAATTTCAACGGCCAATTCTTAATGTCATCACTATCTCGGGTTCAAAGGAGAGAAGACGTGGGTACATTGTGGACATGATTAACTCATCCTTATCCAATTATGGGAGGTGTTATGGTAGACTCAGGCTCCCAGGAGCTCACAGCCCAAATTTAGACCAATCATTTCTACAGGGACTATGTGGCAGACGCGGATTATTCATAGCACCGATTGGCTCATTCTTCCTCCGATCTATTATTAGTATCCAATGATTGCATCCCTATTTACGGCCCACAGGCTCCTGGGAGCCATGGCCAAATATCCACCAATCATTTCATGGTCGACTTGCACGCATGCCATCGATGGCACTAATTGGCAGATTTTTCCGAAGAGTAGTACCCACCCTCTCGCATTCACTTTGTTCTCAGGGGATTGGAGTGGTAATGTCTTTACAAAGGCGCGGCTGATCGCAGAGTTTGATCTACGAAAATGTAATCGACCTAATGTCTGGCCAACTATACAAGGGACTCTGTTGGGAGATGGGGCTGTGTGAATCAATCCGCGCCGTACTATAGCTTGTATCTCCTGCTATTGTGTAGGTGTGCTTTCTTATCACCGATATACGAGGTAGGCAATAAATAACTATGCAGTTTGGCTGGAGATCCAGGGCCGCAATCTGGCATGGTGTTTGCCTGTCTTTGATGAGGTGTTCATTGGGTAGAGTATTGTGGTCATCATTGGTGGGTGAAATGAAATGGCATGATCTGTTGCCGTCTCAGCTGTCGCAATAACTTATGAGTCCCTGGTGGTGAATGTTGAAACGGATCATCGATGCTTTCCTGCGGCATGCTCACCACTGTTGAAACGGTGCCAACAGTGGTAAAAGGAATTACATATATCAAGTCGCCAGGGAAAATGCGATGTCTTCGAATGTTATGTTCAAATGTTGCGTCAGATGAATGAGCAAGTGTTGAACTGACTGCAATTTAAGAGTGGTTTGTGTTTAAGCCCTCACAATTCACAATGGCGATCTCATTAACGCAGATCGAATGCCTGGCTGGATAAATATAGATACCCGATCCTTCGCCCGCTGGAGAGTCGTTCACAAGCATTACTTTGTGATTTTGGATCAAAGAATGTCGATCGTGATTCGTCTTCGCGGCTACTCTTTGGTATGAATTGACCTCCAAATCATGCAATGAAATAGACTGACCTTTTTTATCGCAATGGCCTAGCCTTTTTTTAAAAATGAAGTCTTCAGACAGCGCAGGTGAGTGTTGTTTCCCAGTTATTTAGAATCAGGCTAAGTCGGAAGATGCTCGATATCAGCCCCATTTCCGTTCCTCAAATATCCCATTGGGCGAACCTTTCTGGATCCCGAATAGCCCAAGCTGCGAGCACAGTGAGTTACAAGTTGTCTTCATGAAGTGCCTACTGACAATTGATGATAAATAGCTGTCATCCCTTGTACAGTTCCCTGCAGCGGACAGCAATATCTGAGAACGTAAGTTTCAAAACATTCCGGAATTTTCAAGGCAGACATCATGCGCTGACGACCTCTATACTGTATAGGATGGCAATCTTTCTATCGCGAGTCGCTCAATGTCTTGTAAGTCATGCTAGTGCTTTGCCCCTACGCATTCCCAAC